ATAATGTTAGCTTCGGATGTAGGTTAGCTCTAACCTTGCTGGGGCTCCATTTCCTCATCTGTGAAATGGGCATAATAATAGTACCTTCCACATAAACTTGTGGTGAGGATGAAATGAGCTAATACACGCTAAGTGAGTAGAACAGTGCCTGGCACATAGTTAGCCTGTCAATAACAATCAAGGATCATCGTCATCATCATGCAGGGCTGAGGTGGTCAGAGAGGCCTTGACAGGTGAAAGATTTCAGATAGACATCAGTAAGATGATGAAAGCTGTGTGCAGGAGGAAGAGGCTGACAAATTTAAAAAGAGGAAAAGTGAAATTTCTTTTTTTTTTTTAAATATGTATTTATTTATTTGGCTGCGTCGAGTCTTAGTTGTGGCACGTGGGATCTTCATTGCTGTGTGTGAGATCTTCGTTTCGTCACGCGGGATCTTTTAGTTGTGGCATGTGGGATGTAGTTCCCCGACCAGGGATCGAACCTGGGCCCCCCTGCATTGGGAGCACAGAGTCTTAACCACTAGACCACCAGGGAAGTCTCAAAGGGAAAGTGAAATTTCTGGCAAAAGTGAGGTTTGCGTGATTTAGGTCCAGAAAAAAATGAGCCCGAACGTATCTGATGGTTCCAGCACATTCTCCTCAGCCCACTCCTGACCCTGGGGGTCCCCCTCATCACTGGAGCTTTCATGGGCTGCCTTGAGCTCAGCTGCGGAGACTAAAAGCCACAGGCTTCACTCAGGGTCTCTTCTTTGTTGGGTCACTTCCCAACAACCGAAATTAAGACTTTACACATGTCATTGATTCGGATGCAGAATCAGCCAGTGTTTGGATTTTTTCTTAAAAAAGTAAAATTCAACTTAGGGTAAATCTGCTCTGAGATAGGCCACAGACCACAAGAGGATGGTCCTCTTTGTTTCGGTGTAATAATATTTTAATTGAAAAGTCTGAGGATCACTGTCACAAGGGCCATTTCTGCTCTGACCCCTAGCGCCCAGCCCTCTTCACTTGGCTGCATCCCAATAACCCTGAGAGTTAGAGAGGACACAGACCTTTCCATGGCTTAGGACCTATGAACACAAATCTGCTTTTCACCAGTGCCCTGCATGTGCTGGCTGCATTGGGAACAGCTCAACCGTCTGTCACCAATGCCAGGAGCTTAATCAGAGCAGATGTATCCCTTGCCAGATGCACTGAGATGTATAAGCCTCCTAGGAGAGACACCTCACAGGGCAATGCCTGTTATCTTTAAAATAACAACAGAGTGAGCTCCGCATTCTGTCTCCATCTTGGGCCACCCCAGGAGACAAAACCCTGTCTGGTTTCTAGCTTTGTACCCATAGATGGAGACAAATATTTCACTCTGAGAACTTGAGAATCTGGCAGGTGAATAGAAAGTGGGGTCTTTGACTTATCCTCTGAAGATTGCAATATTATTGATCTGTTCACACCCTGGATACTGCCTTCTCGGTAAACCTTTGGGGCAGTGCATATCTGTGAGTGCAGAAGTGTGAAGTGTGCAGCTGGATGGGGACCCTTGAGCCCTGAAATTGCTTGGGAGGGGTCTATACCAGTTCCTCCAACGTTGCTGCACATTAGAATCACCTGGGAGATTTTTAAAAATCCCTCTGCCCAGGCTGCACCCCAAGCCAATTAAATCAGATCTCCAGGATGGAGCCCAGGTGTTGTGTTTCTAAAGATCCCCCAGAGGAGTCTACGTGCAGCCAGGTTTAAGAAGCACTGGTCGAGGTTTTCTACCATCTCTGGGATGGGAAAGAGCGCACTCCCGTAGCTATGGCTG